AAGCTAATTTCTGATCTAGGATATGTCTCAAACACCAGTCCGCAGAAAGGTGTTCATCACCTCCGCTATTGCATTTGTTCGTAAGTGGGATTTTGACGGTATCGACATCGACTGGGAGTATCCATCTGGTCCGGACGACGTTAGAAACTATGCCAGCTTTATTCAGGTAGCCTCATAAGCCGCAAAAAATTGTCTAAAACATCTCTACACCATCTAGGAACTCCATGATGCTTGCGTTGAAGAAGCTGTCCAGAGCGGTAAGCCTCGTCTATTAGTAACGGCTGCAGTCTCTGCTGGTGAAAGTACCATTGACGCCGGATACGATGTACCAAGCATTGCCAAGTATGTATCAACCCTGGCATAGCTCTGCATTGCCTGGAACAACGTACACTTCTCTTTTAGCTATCTTGATTTCATTCTTTTGATGAACTATGATTTCCACGGTGCATGGAGTACGGAAACCGGCTTCAACTCACCTCTCTATTCAAGAGAGGATATGCCAGAAGCGGAAAAAGTTTGGAATATTGTAAGTCCCACTAAGTTTCCAAATGAATTGAAAACATTAAAATGGTGTGTCTTTTAGGACTGGGCTGCTAATCATTGGTACGCTAAAGGCATGCCTAAGCAAAAAATCATCATTGGAATCCCAACTTATGGAAGAGGTGAAGAGATCAAAAGTTTTATAGGGTAACAAGCAAGCTTGCGACAATCACAATGTTGAAATATTTAGGGTGGACACTAAAAGATCCAACAAATATCAAAGTCGGCAGTCTAGGAAGCCCAGCAAAGATCACACAATTCACTCAAGAAGCTGGAGTAGCATCGTATTATGAGGTTAGATCTCAAGACTTCGTATCTCCGGCATCGTTCAATAGTCAACCCTTTAATAATCTATTTTTAGTTCTGTGAAATGCTTGCAACCGGTGCCACTCGTTACTGGAACTCTGAGCAACAAGTCCCATACCTTGTTCAAGGTGATCAGTGGTGGAGTTATGATGATGAGGAGTCCATTAGCAACAAGGTCCTTTTGAGATCATAGAGTCAAAAAGTGTGTGCATGTCATCATCTCCAGATCGCATGGATCAAACGCAATAAGTACGGAGGGGCATTTGTGTGGACCTTGGACTTTGACGATTTCAACGCTAAGTGCACAAATTCGGATGGGCAACTCTATCCACTTATTAGCATTATTGCCAGAGATCTTGGTGGAGTTATCATTCCTAAGGTGGGTGGAATTGAGATTTTCGAACAGATTGCACATACGTTAGCAGAGCATCTTAAAATTATTTCAAAACGATGTTTATTAGAAGCAATCCCGTAGCATTGCAGACATGGATACGTTCTGTCATGTTTTCTTCGTAAACTTTCCCTCTTATTCCACGTGCTCAATATCATAGAACCTAAGTAGTAAGCGGTCACTAAAAATCTTATGGAAGTTTAATTTCGAATTTGTTATAAAACCGATTTTCTTTCACTATTAGTTTCTGAGGAAGTTCTGCAGATTGTTGAGATCGCTGACCAATATTTGCCAGTCGAGCTCCGTCAACCAGAAATCCCATTTCGTTAGTCGTTATAAATCGTTAGTGTACACATGGACAGATGATTGAGACTAGCATTCCGAGATGCAAGAGCTTCGAAAAATCGCATTTGGATTGTTGAAACTCTAAAATAGCAGAAAAAAACGTGTATAGTTTTCCCAATAAGTTGTCTTCTGATTCAACTAACATTACAGATTTACATTGGTTACTCTTACACTAGA